CCCGTGCAGGCCCTTGATACAGACTTGCATGTGGGACACTGTCGTGGGCTCTTGGCCTCCACTGGATTCATAGAATAAAAGACTATGGGCTCTAGGTCTTCAGCTAGACTCATGCAGGAACACCGCCGAGGGATCCAGCCCACAGCTGGATTCTTTGCGTCTCTAATGCGTGGACAGATCTCCGGCACCCTTTTGCACTTGGCTCTTTGGGTGAACGTTATCAAATAATCCTATAAATTATGTCCCCTGTATTAAGTTGTTTCCCTAGCAAGGGAAACAATTGACTACAAGGCAGGAGCGACCAAAACATGCAAAGGTGCGGGTGCAGCATGGCATGTAGCACAGGGCAGATTTGTGCCTGGTGGCTCACAGGGCACGGAAAGATTTTTAAAGAGTCACAGGAAAAGGTCTGTGATTCCGAAAACTCACCCTGGCCAGCAAGTAGAACAACAAGGGATGAGTAGAGTAAGAGATGGAGTGAAGGAGCAGAGGCTAAGCAAGAACTGGAGCCGTGGGGAAGAAAGAACACTGTCCCGTCTGTCACCACCCACCTCACACACACACAACTACCGCAGACCATGCTGGAGTAATCGGTTCCCCCACTTCCACAATCCTGAAGACAAAGCCACACTCCTGGAGACCATCCATGACTCAGTCTTCCGACCACCTCCTCCGACTGCCCAAGTCCCTGCCCCAATTCACCGCCCTGCCTCAGTTCCACTGCCTGGCTCGGGCCACGCGCTTCTGTCTAGCAATTCCCTGTGCATCTTCTGAAGACTCACTTCTTACACTATGAAGGCAGAAAAACAGCCCTGCCACCTAGGAGCCGGTCTGCTCCCCGGGCCAGGCCTTCACCTGGTGGGCAGCAGGCCCAGCAACCACATGAGGCCACGATGTCCTCCTGCTGGACACAAACAACCTTGCAGACACCAGCACAGGACACTCTGCAACAGTGGTAAAGTGACACAAAACAGGGGCACTTCACAACTTTGTATACACAGATAGAAACAAGGTCACTACGCCACCCACAAAATACCAAACGCCCTCCCTCCCAGCTGATGAGTGACCATGGCTTCTTCATGATTTAGCTTCAATGCTACTCTAGCCAAACCTCCTTGCAGACAAGACTGAGTGGGCTACCCCACCCAAGATTGGTCCCTGCGTCCTCTTGGCCAGGTGTAGGTTTGGTGGGTCCTAGGCAGAGTAGAGAGCTGACCAGAGGCACTGCATGATGGGCACAGTCAAGTGGGGGTCTAAGTCTGTCTTGTGTTGCTATAACAAAATACCTGTGGCTGGATATGTTATGAAGTAAAGGGGTGCATTTACCTTCCAAATCAGATAGTTGTACAGTTAAAATACAAAGTACCAATTTGGGAAAGGCCCCCGGCCGCATCAGAATGTGGAGGAGAAGCACATGGGAGAGGGCATATAGAGAAGACAGCAAGGAGAGGCGCCAGCCTTGTTTATATCAGCCACTCTTACAATAACCAATCAAGTCCCATAGGAGCACAAACTCCCTCAAGAAATGCATTAATCCCTCTTGTTGGGCATGGTGGCACAAGCTTGTAATCCCAGCACCCAGGAGGCTGAGGCAGGAGGCTCACCACGAGGTTCAAAGGCCAGCCTGAACTAAATAGCAAAACTCTGTCTAAAAAACAAACAAAAAGCAATTCATTAATCCCTCTTAAAGGCCCTAACGCTTCTCCAAGGTACCGCTTCTGAACACAACCACACTGGGGACCAAGCCTCCACATGTGCTTCGGTGGGGACAAATCATATTCAATCCACAGAAGGGGGTGAGCCAAGTCAGCTACCACAGCCAGTGTTCAGCTGACACCCACTGTAGCATGTTAGCTAGTAAGCACAAACCTAACACATCCAATTAGAAAAGTTCTAGTAACCTGATCGAGAAAGAACACGGTAACAGGAGTTATGTTGTATAACACAATAGAGATATTTTTGTATTAAAAAAAAGAAGTTCTGGTAACAAGAGTTGAGGACCACGACAATGATGACAGTAACAACCAACCGTGAACAAACACTGCTGGGAACAGTCTACGTTCTACCTTCATCACAACTCACACGGCTTCACCACCGTCCCCCCAAAGAGCTCTGTAACGAAGGAGAGAGCAACTAAAACAGGAATAACAGGACTGTTGGTTCCTGGGGAAGCCGACTAGCTTTTTAAAAGTTATTTTAGGAATTTTTATGATAGTTTATTATAGTTTAACTCAGGGTGGCAGGAACCAGCCAGACCCATGGTTCCTATATATATATATATTTAGTGACTTCCAACTGGAGGAAAAATCAAAACTAATAATTTTATTCAGGGCTTTCACTCTGTGCCAGATCCTGTGCTAGGAGCTTTGTGTCAACTGCCTCATTTAACCCTCACACCTAAAAGGTGGGTTACCCTTGTTAGCCCCATTTTAAAGGTAAGAAGACGGAGGCAAGTAGAGTAATTTGCCCATCATTCCTGCAAGGTATCATTAGGTAGTATCATGGCTTTGAACAAGATTTAAGAGTTTAATGTGTCAAAGTGAAGAAGTTGATCACAATACCATGGAAACTGAAAGACAGTGAACACAAAGTGTTAGGGCCTTTAAGAGGAATTAATGCATTTCTTTTTGGGCTTTTTGAGACATCTTGCTGTGCAATTCATTTCCTAAAAATTAACTTATGGATTCTCACACTGCCTTCAAATATTTTCACAGAAAAATCCAAAGCAGAAAAGCTTTGATGAAATCCACCCAGATGGCAAACACCTGTGGGTCTTTATAACACAGGACTTATCCCAGAACATCTGATTCAATAGTCTAAAGCAGGCTCTGAACATCTGTATTTTTTTTAAGACGGTGTTTTTTGTTTTGTTTCTTTGTACCGGGATTCGAACTCAGGACCTTACGCTTGCCAGGCAGGCGCTTGTGCCGCTGAGCTAGATCCCTGGCCCTGTATTTCTTTAAAAAAGCTCCATAGGCTATGCAGATGCGCAGTTTAGTTGGGAACTACTGCTTGACAGTCTAAGTAGCTCCAAATCGACCCTCCCCTATGCCGTCCAGAATTTCGAAGATGCAGAGAGCATCACAGAACTGCAGCACAGAAGAAATTATAAAAACCACCCAACAGAGATCGTGAGAAGGCATGCTCCAGTTATACTATGTCTTTGTTCTTTGTGTCTGAACTATCTTACAGTTCATTTACTTCTTTGAAGTGAGCTTGCCAAAGGGGGAAAAAAATTACCAAGATTTGTTAAATTATCCTGACCCTAATGGCTGTGAAAATGATTCAATACAAATTTTCTTAGCACATGGCACTGTGTATGAGAAAAAAAATATTTCTGATTTAGCAGTGCCACAGATGCTATCAACAGCAACTGAAAGCTGGAGGAGAAATGAAAGTAAATGCAATCCCTTTAAATTTACCCATCTCGCCCAGGATATAGTTCAGTGGCACAAGCGCCTGCCTGGCAAGCGAAAGGTCCTGAGTTTGATTCTTGGTACCAAAAATAAATAAATAAATTCACACATCTCACTGGGGACTGCCTGGAGGCCCTTGCTACTTATTTAATCAACCACCACTAACATCTACTACATGCCAATCACAGCTCTAAGTGCTCTACTAATATTAAGTACCATTGAAGCTGGGTGTGCTAGTGCACACCTGTGATCCCAGCACCCTGGGAGGCTGAGGCAGAAGGATTCTAAATTCAAGTTCACCTTGGGCAACATAATGAGGAGGTCCTGGGTTCAAACGCCAGTACATGCCACAAAAATTAAATAATCAATTAATCACTGTTGAATCTTCAAACCCATCCAGGAAATGAGCCTTATCCCCATTTTACAGACCAGAAAACTGAAGAACAAAATAGGTTAGGAACTTGTCTGTGTATAAAGCTAATACATGGAAGGAAGCACTTGGGAAGCTGAGGCAGGTCTGTCACCAGTTCAAGGCCAGCGGTGGGGACGGAGGGGGGGTGGTAAATACAGAGTTCAAGGCCACCTATATACGAAGGCCACTTCTAAACAAATAAATAAACAGATGGATAGATGGCTGGCTGGCTGTCAGGGGTCCAGCTGGACAGAGTGATTCCAGAGCTTACACTCTTAATCACTATGCTTGGTCTCCAAGAACCCACCAAAAGTGGAAGGAAGGCTTCAACCAAAACTTTGGTGTGCCCCGCCTGCACGATCCCTCCCTGGCTCCCATATACTTCCCCCATTTCCAGGGCATTCTTTCAGTTGCTCTTCACAGTCCCTACCCCTCCCTTGCTGTGCCTCAACACTCTCCCACATCCCCATTTTTAAAAAGGCTTTTCTTCTCCGCTTAACCACCACTATCTAATTTTAATGGCACATTACGTCTCCTACATCGCAACACAAAACTCTAATTACTACTTCACAAGTAACTATTGGTTTCCTATCTTTCCCAAGTAGGCTGTGAGTACCAGGATGTCCCACACCACGTCTGTCCTGAACACCACGCGGCATTCCCAACCAGTGCACAAAGCAATCTCCCACGAAGTGTGTTAAATGAACAGAGGTTATACAAACCTCATGGTTTCCCTCCTTGAGGCAGACTCGCACTGGCCATGCCCCCACCACCACCACCTGTTACTGCACTAGCAGAAGCCTCGGCGTGGTGGTGGCGCTGTAAATAAGCATTGTGTAGCCTGGACCGGTCACCTCTCCTTTATGGGTTCGAGTTTCAGGCGCACACTGGGGATCCCGCCACCCCGGTAGAATTTAACCTAAGGAGGAGGGGAAATCTGATTTCTCATAACCCATCAAAGCTGTAAGACTTCACCTCCACGAAGGTCTAGCTCCCGCTCAGGGTACGCTCACGTGCCGGCACACGGCACAGCCCAAACATTACTGCCTAAGGAAATGGACCGCGCGGCGCCCTCCTCGCAGGTATGAAGGGGAGCTCGCTGGAAGGGGCCGAGGCGCTCCTTTCGGGTGCCAAGCGTACCCCCGGACACAGGCCTGCCTCCGCCGACGCACCTCTTGCACACAGAAGCATCCTCGCAGGTGCCGCGCACGCCCTCGTCGTCCGTGTCGCGGCTGGACGTGGAAGTGGAGCCGAAAGGGGACGACTCCCTCCGGCTAGCGGCCATGGGCGTGGAGATGTCGGGCTGCCGTGCGCTCCAGGCACAGGGAAACGGGGTCGGCAGGCACAGGGGCAGGGAGCAAGCCACAGAGAAGCCGGGGCCGAAGGACTCGGGCGCCTCCCGGCTCAGCTGGAGCGGCTCAGTGACCCCGCCCCCGTGGGCTGCCCCAGCAACCTTCCGGCTGATTGGCGCCTCCGCTGCGGAAGCTTATTGGGCGGTTTCTCCGCCCCCTCAGACACTGGAGCTGTTCATTGGGAGGCTCCTTTAGCTCCGCCCACATGACCCGGATGTGTGCCGAGGGCGAGGAAACTGAAAATGACCTAAAAGGAGCGCAATGCTTTACGGGAAATGTAGTCTTGGATGTTTTGGGAGACATTCTGATTTCGTAGCTCTGGCCATGAAATTTTATGGATATTATAAAATTATAATTTATAATTAAATCAGGCAAAAGAGCTAACAACAGGCTCTTTAGCACTGGGGAGAAAGGTGGAAGTTGTTAAATTGCATCCGGGCCTTCGTGTTACTCAATTTAACAAATTTTGAGGTGGCTGACACCTGTTAGGTCCTGTTCTAAGGACTTCGTACATGAAATCGCCTTTGAAGTGTTGTGAAGAAGGTAGTAGTTAGAAAACCAGTACAGTAGAAAATATGAAACAATGAAAAATAATTGGAGGTACCCAGTGCAAGGTGGCTGAATTTCAGAAATAACGAAATTTAGTGACAGAAAGACAAGCAAAAAGAATACTGTTTACGGAAACATATGTACTTGGTGAAATATTATACAGGAAGCAAAGGAATGAGTAGGGAAAAACAGGAATCTGGATACTAAGAATGAGTCACAGGAGGGCAGAGAGTGGGACTGGGAAAGGAATTCACAGAAATTCTTCAATTTCTCAAATGGGAGTGGGTTTCGCACGTTTGTTTCATTATTATTCATAACATTCAAAATGTTCATTACATATATCTTATATGGGGTTTATTTTGAAGTCAGCTACATTAAGAAGTGTGTTTGTATATATTGTTTTATCGGCCTTGTGTTGGGATTAGGGAAGTGATACACTCAAACTTCAAGAATTATGAATCGCACCCATTTTTTAAAAAAATAAAATAGTTCTTAGGATGATAGTGCACATTCAAGCCCCAGCACTGAAAAGCAAAACCAAACCAAACACAGTACTCTGTGGGTCCGTAATCTCAATTGACTGGGAGGCTGAGGCAGGAAAATCACTTGACCCAACAGGAGTTGAAGCCAGCGAGGGCAACACAACAAAACTTTGTCTCAAAAATATTTTAAAAGAAACTCAGGACACACATCTTGGGGAGGGTTAGATAGGTCATGCTTCCTTAGTATTCCATTAAGAGACAAGTGTGCATTGATACCCAAGATAGGAATGATTGTGAGAAAAAATTTTTTTAAAATGACAGTGGGATCTGAATGTAACCAGGTTAGCACTGGAGTGATCTCTGACCCCCCCAAAAAGGGAACTTTCTTTTAAATTCTCTCAACTTGTATTTTTTTACATTGTTCACCACTTTCCATAGATAAGGATTGGGCAGTCACGTATTTTATAATTTTTGAATGGTAACACAAATTAATGTTTTACACAAACACTTAATCCTCATAAAAACTAAAAGCATTCCACACACTGCTTGAGGTACCCTTTGATCACAGCCTCTTATCCTGTCCACACCCACCCTCACAAGAGGCCACCGCAGTCCCTACAGCACTTTTCTAAGTGAAACCATTAAGAATAGTTTATGAAATTTAAAAGAGATTAAAACTGAAAACAAACGTGAGTTTTTCTTTAAAAGCCCGTTTTGTGATAAAGGACACACACAGGGTCTTCGTTTTCTAACTTGAAAATCTTCCGTGCCATCTCTCACCGGTACCAGGTGACATTAGCAATGGTGTGCAGGTGGGCAAACTCTCTGAAACAACAGCAAAAGAGGATGCACAGTCCCACTAGGTTCAAGTCCAGCTGGGTTAATAAAAGACACAAGCGTAGAACACAGACCCAACTTCTTCTCCTGTTCGGTATGGATCCTGGGGACTTTTGCAAACCTTGTGGTACCTTTTTAGGCAGTTGCTTTTTGCCTGGAGAATCCAGAGGTTTATTGTCACAAGGAGAAAGGCTTGCTGGTGATGTAAGTGAATGAGATTCTATTTCTAGAAATTGAACAAAATGCCTGAAAAAGAACTCTTAAGCCGAGACTGCTGGTTAGGCTTCAGAGGTGTATGGATCCACCTCCATGGCACCTTCTCATCCATCTGGAGGCATCACCTTGGTCTTCATGAAACAACTGCTCCAGGGGCTGGGGATTTAGCTCAGCGGCAAAAGCGCCTGCCTGGCAAGCGCAAGGTCGTGAGTTCGGTTCCCGGTACCGGAGAAAAACCAAAAAAA